TGGTGGCTTTGTGCTCCTCCCTGCCCGTGGCCCTTGGGGACGGTGACACTGCGGTGCTCAGGGGTCCCCTCAGCAGTGGGACCCCTCCCCACAGCCCAGCCCCGCTGTGGCTCCTGTGGGTGACACCGCAGCCCTGCGCCATCCCTGCTGGGCACTGTCACCCTCCTGCACCTGCCACCACCTCCGAGCTCACCTGGATCTTCCCAGCCTTGCCCCAGGGCTGATCCTGTCGCTGCTCCGGGGTCCCTGCTGGAATTCTGGTGGCTCTGGCCACTGTCCCTGTCCCTGAGGGTGCGATGCCAGCTCGCCGTGCCCGAGCCCTGCAGGGATCTTCCCGTTGCTAAGCAGCTCCTGAGGAGCGATGGCAGCCCCGGGTGTGCTCAGAGCTCACCTGGATCTGCCCGGGTGAGGTGGATACACCCAGCAGTGGGTTATTTATTTTATTTTTTAATTTTTTTTTTGCCGTTGTCTTTCCTGTAATTAATCAAGGGGAGTAAATCCTTGTGACAGCATCCTAACAGTGTTTGGTTTGAGAGGGAGCTGCTGGAGGAAATGTCAACGTGCTGCTTAAATAAAATTGACTGAGCTGCTGCTCAGCTGCCTTTGGGACGAGGCTTTGTCTGGAGGATGAGCTGGGAATTCAGGGGGCGAGGAATAAAGGCAGTTCTCAGCACCTTGTGGGGATTTGGAGGCAGCAGTGCCATCAGCCAAGCCACAAGGAGTTGGTGTTCCCAAAGACTCCCAGAGGCTGTGGTGTGGATTTAACCAGAGGGCACTGGAGGCATCGCTTTGCTTTTCCTGTCTCTGCTCCCTCACCATCACCTGTGGACTGAGGCTGTCACACTGAGCTTTAATTAACTCATTAGCAGCACGCTGAGCAGGGGAGTTGTGGGGTTCCCTGCGAGGCTTTGGTGTGGAGCTCAAGGATGAGGTGACCCCAGGGCTGTGGCTCTGGGTTGCTCCCAAAAGCTGCATCCCCAGGAACCCTCAGCTCCCGTGGGGCAATCAGGGTCTGATCCCACAATGAGGATGTGGGGACACACGGGGTGTGCTGCCACGGCTGTGGCACCTCTGGGACTGTCCTGTCCCTTGCCCAGGTGTCTGGGAGGAGCTCCAGCCCCAGCAGCTCCAGCCAGCTGAGCTCTGCCTCCCTCCCTCCCTGCTGCTTTTACAGCAGAGCCCGGGCTGTGGGCTGCTCCCTGAGCTGCTCCCTGAGCACCATCCATTGGGCACTTGCTCAATTTTGCCCAAACTTTCTGAAAGAATTTGCACATGATGACACCAATGCTGGAATTTTGGGATTTGAGGGAGTTTGGGTGTGTGGGACCCTCTATGGCTGGGCTGCCCTCCTACCCCTCCCTGCAGGTCACCCTGCAGTGTTCCACAGCTGCTCCTGCAGCTATTTTGGGGGATATTGCCCCTTTTTCCTCCCCTCTGCAGGTAAATCCAGCAGTGCCAAACCCTGCCTGGAGCCAGAGGACAGTGGGGACCTGCTGCCTGTCCCTATGAGGGCGTTCCACAGGGAATGGTGTGGGCTGGGCAGTGGGAAAGCTCCTTTTCCTGGGAAAGGACGAGCCTGGGTGTGGGGTGTGGTGTCTGTGCCAGGTGTCTGGGCAGGATCTGGAATTCCCTGTGGTTTGCAGCCCTTCCTGGGTGCCAGGCATGGAGCAGGGCAGGATCTGGTGCTGATGGACTCGGGAGATGGCTGGAAATGTTCCCCAGGAGCTGGGAAGGGTTTCCAGCCCATCTTGGTGTTTTGGGATACGTGCCCTGAGTGGTGAGGAGACAATTCCAGCTTTGGCATTTGCTCCTCACCCTGCTCATCTGGGTGGGTCCTTGTCATCCCCAAATTGAGCTTCGTCAAGCAATTCCATCCTCATCCCCAATTTTTCCACCCCTGGCTCCAGCTGTGGATCATAAACCCACTCTGATGCCAACATGCAAACCCCACCATCCCAACAGGGAATCAGTTTGGATCCATCCCACTTCCAAACCTCCTGCTTGCTGAGGACACCCAATAATCTCCCACCTGGCACCAGAGCAGCAGCTTGGGTTGCTTGGTTGGGGTCTGGCTGCTGCTCCGTGTTCCAGGTGAGCGGACGATGCCCCAAAATCTGCATTTTTCCACCCGGATTAATCACATCAGGCTTTGTCAATGGAAAAATTACCTCATCATTGGCACTGGCAGGTGGTGAGAGCAGCAGACTTATTCAATATTTAAGAAAGCTGCATTGCAGAGCTCAGGAGGCTGGAGGGAGAAATAGGTTGCCTGTGTCAGTGTCTGCTGCTGGAGACAATCTCTGCAGGCATCGGCTGGCAAGCGTGGAGCTGGCTGCACAAACCTCACCCTGGCAGCGTGGAAAAGATGGGATTTTCTCTCTTCCCCCCTGGTTTGGCATTCCCAGGTGGCTCCTTGGGGATGCTGGGCTCCCTGCAGGTGCCCAGCTGTGGGTGGTTCTGTGCCCTGCAGCTCCATGGGGTGGGATGGGCTCATTCCATGGACATCCCCCGGCCTTCCCAGCCCTCCCACAGCTGCTGCAGGGTGAGCGGGACCTGCTGAGCCCTCACACTGCCCCTGCCAGGGTTTGGGTGCTGTCAGTGAGAGGGATCCACAGGAGGCATTAAATCCCCTTTTATCAAAGCACGGCCAAGTCCAGGGGCTCTGTCACACAGCAGCAATGGAGCTGCATGATTGGAGTCATGTGGCCCTTCCTCAAGGCCACAAATTAAGACCTCACTGCTATTCCTGGCTCTGCCCAGGACGTGCCACGCTGGCGCCGGCGGGAGCTGCCAGCATCCCTCGGAAAACCTCGGCATGAGGCAGCTCCTCCCATCCCCTCCAACACCAGGGCAGCAGATCCGGGACCCCTCGGGGTCAGCTAAACCCTGGAAGGTCTTGGCACCCTCCTAGGTTTGGGATATTTCCATTTCATTAAGGAAACGCTGCTGCATCCCATCGATCCCTGCTTGGATGGCCACATCCTGCTGCTCAGGAGCCAGGGTTTGGCAGGGGAGGGGGGAAGAGCCACCCTGAGCTGTTGTTTTGTTCTTTCCCATGTGCTAAAAATGCTGGAAGAAGCATTAGGGCAAGCGGGGGTAGTTGCTGGAAGTAATGCAAAGTAGATTTTTCCAAATCTATTATTTATAGGTGGAGAAAGGGATTGTGTATTCCTCCAGGAGCAGCAAAAGCAGAACAGAACGCTCCTGGCCTCGCTCTTGTTAGCACAAAGTTCCAGTTGGGCTAAAGAGTTTTCCTTCCTGATACCTCTTGGCTAGGAAAAAACAGGGATTTTCCACTCTTTTCCCCTGTTGCAGGGTTGGGGTGGACATTGGTGACCTTGGGACAGTCCCTTCACACCTGCATCTCCCCAAAAATGGGACAAATGGGACAGTTCCCCTTTCCCACCTGCATTCCCCAAAAACAGGAGAGTTCCTTTCCCACCTGAATCTCCCCAAAAATAGGACAGTTCCCCTTTCCCACCTGCATCCCCCCAAAATTGGCTGCTGGCACCGTGGTGCTGGCCCTGCTCCCCGCTCGATCTCTGCCCACCCTGGGATGTTTCATTCCCAGCAGGAATTCTGTGCTGCAGTGCAGGTTCTGGAGGTGGTGGTGGGGACTTAAATGAACAATTTCCTTCGTTAAGTGACCTTGTTAATTGGAGCCTCCTGCTCTGGCACGGGAACAGGCGCTGTGTGAACCAGCAGAGCAATAATTACCCACGTGCTTCGCTTCTCCTGCTTTCCCAAAAATACATTTTTTGCATCCCCCAAGTTTTCCATGGAGCCAAGGTGAGCCTCAAGCCTCCACAACTCCCCAGGGAGTGATGAGGAACCTGCAGAGCATTTTTTCCCGTGTTGGGTGTTGGGTGTTTTTTCCTGGCTTGGAGCTGGAGCAGTTTTGCAAGTTCCATAATTTCCTTGGTATAATCCCCCCAGTTTCTCTGCTGGAGTTTTGCTGGAGTTGCTTTGTGCCCTACAAAGGTTCATTTTACCAGTGTGGGCAGAGCTCTGGTCCTGCTGGGATGCTGATTTTAGGATCTGATGGGGTGAGGGGAACTGAGAGGTCTCTTCCAGGCATGGAGGAATCCAAGGCAGCATCATCCCAGGGCAGCAGGGTGGGAAGGAAAATTTTCCATGGGCTGGGAGCAGCCTCATTGTCCATAGCTGGACTCTGCAGAGGTTTTTTGGGAATTTTTTAGCTCTGCTGCAGGCAAATCTATGAAATCCCTGGTTTTCCCTCAGAAGAGGTAATGGATGAATGGATCCATCCATCCCCATCCCCCTGCAGTGAGTAGGAGCAGTGGGTGGAGGGGCAAAACCCCTCCAAAAATGGGAATAAAGCAACAATCAGGCTGTAGATTTGACATCTATTGGGATTTTAAGGAGGAGGGTTTGAAGAACCCTCTCTGGATGAGCCTTTGGGGAGGAATGGACAGATCCTCCTGTTTGAGTCCTGGTGCTGTGTTTTCCCTCCTGGATCCACTTGGCAAAAAACTTCAGTAAAACCAAAATGGGAAAGGAGGAGGTTTTGTTTTTCTAGAGGGGAAAAAAGGTGTTGTTTTGTTTTTTTTTTTTAATTATTTTTTTTCCAGAGGGTGGTGTGGGAAAGGACAGTGAGGAATGCTGGAATTTGGGGAGAAATTTTCCTTTTTTGCAGCTATTTCTATGGAATGGATCCCCCTCTTCCCTCCTGCCTCTGAAGCCTCATAATTAATGTGAGGTTGGGCATTCATTAATTACATCCAGGCTGTGCTGCCCTCATGGGAAGGAGGTGACTGGAAGCTCTCAACATCCAGACTCAAGTGACATTCCTGCTCCAAACCCTCTTACAATCCCACAAACAAAACCATTCCCAGCGTGATTTTCAGGGAATTTTTTGCTGTTTTTTCCTTACAGCCTGGCTGGGAGCTCCATTCCCTCACTGGCCCCTGGCAGCAGAGTGGCTGAAGTCCCTGCAGCGCTGGGTTGGTGACAGCCAGCAGGGCACTGCTGTCCCCAGGCTCTGGTGTGGCCGGCGATGACCGACGCGGTGCTGGGCGGCTCCTCTGACCGGTGGATGTGCCCCAGCGACAGGACCATGTCCCTCCGAGCCAGGTGACAGCAGGGACACTCCCAGCGAGGGTGGGGACACCAGTTCTCCCCGTGGGGACACCAGGAGTTGGTTCAGTGCTGTTGCATGGGGACGTTTTGCTGGGTTTGCTCCTCAACGCCCTGCGCTGTGACCGTGTTCACTGGGGGCTGAGGATGAGGGAAGAGATGAGGATCTGGCTCCATGTTTCAGAAGGCTTGATTTATTATTTTATTATATATATTATATTAAAACTATACTAAAAGAATAGAAGAAAGGATTTCATCAGAAGGCTAGCTAAGAATAGAATAGGAAAGAATGATAACAAAGGCTTGTGGCTCAGACTCTGTCTGAGCCAGCTGACTGTGATTGGCCATTAATTAGATACAACCACATGAGACCAATCACAGATCCACCTGTTGCATTCCACAGCAGCAGATAACCATTGTTTACATTCTGTTCCTGAGGCCTCTCAGCTTCTCAGGAGAAAAAATCCTAAAGAAAGGATTTTTCATAAGAGATGTCTGTGACACTGAGCGAGATGGGGGGACAGAGCCAGGCTGTGCAGGGACATGGAGCTGTCCCTCTGTCCTGGCACCCTGCAAGGTGATGCCACATCCACTCTGGAGCAGGATGGGGGCTGGGTTTGGTGCCTGGAGGTTTGGGGTCGCTCTTTGGGGGCATTGGGGCTCCATGGGGAGGGACCAGGAGTTGGGGACTGTCACTGTGACGTGTCACTGGCTGGGCTCTCCTCATCCCTGCTCTCTCCTAATCCTTACTTCCTCTCCTTCCCTGTGCTTCCCAGCAGCGAGAAGGAGCAGTAAGTATCTTTTATTTGTCACTTATTCCTCTTTTCCTGCTGCTTTGATAGTCACGAAAAACTGGGTTTGGATGTAAAAAAAAATAAAATTTGGGAAGTGTCGCACTTTTAAGGATTTTAATGAACTTAAGGCTCAAAGCCATGTGGGTCTGTTAATCCAGAGGGAGAAAAGAGCCAGGAAAGGTCTGTGGATGAGCAGCAAGGTGAGGAATGTTTGCCTTTTGCACCCCTGAGTGGCAGACGTGTCCCTGTCACCAGGTTAGCACTGCCTGACACCCAGGCTGGGAGGGAGAGAGGATCTTTGGGAATGGTGTTAGAGGGACAAACACTCCCATGTTTGGAGAAGTGTTCCCAAAAAAAAGCCACCCACTCCTGCAGAACCACCCCGGTCCCGTGGCTGCCAGGACTGGTGCTCCAGGAAAGGAAAGATGCTCCAAAGGAAATGTGGAAATAACGGGAATGGCTCTGAAAAGGAGTTTTCCCTCTGTATGAAACCAATATTTCCATATGAAAGCCCCTAAAAATGGAGATCAGAGCTCCCAGCTGTGGGTGGGGGCTCATTGCAGGCTGGATGGGATCTGGAGGATGGGGAGGTGGGCTGGGTTTGGGGTCTGGAGGATGGGGAGGTGGGCTGATTTTAGGGTTTGGAGGATGGAAGGTGGGCTGATTTTGGAGAATGGGGAGGTGGGCTGCGTTTGGATTATGGGGGAGCAAGGCTGATTTTGGGATTTGGAGGATGGGGAAGTGAGCTGATTTTAAGGTTTGGAGGATGGGGAGGTGAGCTGGGTTTGGAGGATGGGGAGGTTTGCCTGGGTTTGGGGTTTGGAGGATGGGGAAGTGAGCTGATTTTAGGGTTTGGAGGATGGGGAGGTTTGCCTGGGTTTGGGGTTTGGAGGATGGCGAGTAGGGCTGGGTTTGTGTTTTGGTGCCTGGGCACAACCAGGGCTGGGTTTGAAGGATGGGGAGGCGAGCTGGGTTTGGGGTCTGGAGGATGGAGAGCAGGGCTGATTTTGGGATTTGGAGGATGGGGAGGTGTGCTGAGTCTGGAGGATGGGGAGCTGGGCTGGGTTTGTGTTTTAGTGCCTGGGCGCAGCCAGGGGTGGGTTTGGAGGACGGGGAGGTGGGCTAATTTTGGGATTTGGAGGATGGGGATCTGGGCTGGGTTTGTGTTTCGGTGCCTGGGCACATCCAGGTGTGGGGTGGATCCGTGTCTGGATCCCTGTCCCCGCTGTCCCCGCAGGCTCCCGGCGGGATGGGCGGCGCAGCCCGAGCGGCAGCGCAAGGGCGAGGAGCTGACGGACGAGGAGAAGGAAATCATCAACCGGGTGATCGCCCGCGCCGAGAAGATGGAGGAGATGGAGCAGGAGCGCATCGGGTACGGCGGGCTGGCGACACCCGGGAGGGACACGGCGGGGACACGGGGACCCCGGGGTGGCTCCGCTTGGCTGCTCTCCTGGGCAGCAGCCTCTGCACTGCGGAGCCGCTCCTGGAGGAGCCTGCGGGGGATTCTGGGCTCCGGCCAGGAGGAACCAGGCAGGGAGGGAGCGGCTCTGGGCGCCTCGGGGGGCTGGAGCCTTCTGCTCCCATCCCGGGAATCACTGAGATTTTTTTATCAGTGAAAAGGGATCGCTGATAGCAGCTCGCTGCTTGTGCAGTGCTGAGCCAGAGCAGGAGGAGAGTGAGTTCTGGGAATGCTGTTGGAGGGGTGATGGATCCATCTTTGGGGTTAATCCCGCTCTGGAAGGAGCTGTGTGATGCCCAGGGCTGTGATGCTCAGGTTTGCCAGGCTGGGAGGCAGCAGTGATGCTGGCACTCAGCTGGCCAGGCTGCTTTAGGGAGCTGCTCATGGAAAGCCTGATTTAGTGGGATTTTCTAGGATTTGCTGGGATTTTTCTCTTCTGGGATTTTCCTTTTTGGATCCTGGGGTCTCCAGAGCCACTGGTACTTCATTTTCCACCAGGGGCATTTCTGGTGCCCATGCACAGGCTGGAAAGTGCCCCTGTTTCCTTTCTTACCAGGTGAAACGAGCTAAAGCCAAGGTGTCCATCCCCATCCATCCCCTTGCTCTGCCGGGAATGGTTTTCCAGAGGGCTTCTCCATGATCCCATTGGAATCTCCACAATCCTGTTTTCCTGACAGAGGAGCACTCTCTTCTCACTGACTATAAGCACTCACTGCTCCTTTATTTTTTATTTCCTAGCAGGGAAAATACTCAGCCCCATGCAGGAGCCACACTCCCCTCTGCTTTGGGAAGCGTCAAATTCCCTCTCACAGCTCAGGGACAGCTTGCTGCCCCTTAAATATTTGGATGCTCTGGCTGTGGAGAATTGCTGGATTCATTCCCTCATGTTCAGAAAAGTCAGGGTTTGAATATCCTGGGGAGGTTTTGCCTTTCCAGGGGCAGCTCTGCCTGCCTGGGCTCGGCTCCTGCCCCATGGATGCGCTGCTCCCTCGGGCTGGAGCTGCCCCCGGGGCTTGGCATCACTTCCCACCTCACTTTTTGGCAGAAGCCAGGTGAGAGCGGCTCTCTCTCTCTCATTGATGGTGATTCACACCCTACAAGAGCTCCCAAACAGCTCTCCCTGGCGTTTCCCTTTTTGCAGCCCGCTGCAAAAGAAGGAAAGAAAAGAATCCCTTCCCAACGCGCGATGCTCCTCGGATGAGCCGCAAATCATCTCGGGGAGAGATTTATTCCCTGCAGCTGTTTCCCAGCTCTTCCCTTAGCCGAGCTGGCGGAGGTTTGCTCATCCTCATTCATGAAAAGCCGGGCGGAGGGGCTGGAGCCGGGAATTCTGGCGGATGTGCAGCTGATTCCCCTCCTGCGAGGAGGAGGAGGAGGAGGAGGCGTAGCGGGAGCCCTGCCAGCCCCTTTGTGTTTGTTGGCCTGCACAACAAGAGCTCTGCAGGATGTTCAGCCCCGGGAATGTGGGACAGCGGCTGGATCAGCCTCGCAGGGAATCGGGAATCATTCCCTTATCCGGGATGGCTGCTTCTATTACAGAATAATCCGGGCTGGCCTCTGGCAGGGAGGCAGCGGTGCTGGCTGGCCAGGCTGCTTTAGGGAGCTGCTCGTGGAAAACCTGATTTTTCTGGGATTTTCTGGGTTTTTTTCTAGGGAAAAATAAATCCATTAAAACTCACCCAGAGAAGCTGTGGCTGCCCCATTCCTGGAAGTGTCCAGGAGTGTTGGAGCAACCTGGGATAGTGGAAAGAGTCCCTGTCCATTGCAGGGGGTCCTTCCCAACCCAAACCATTCCATTATTCCATGAAAACGCTGCTTTTGGTTAATATTAGGAATGGCTCACACGGAGTGAGATTCCAAAGGGGGAATGTGTGGTGAATACTTGGAGGTGCCTCAATAAGTGGAGGTGTTTGAGGGATTCATTTTAGCTTTGCACCCAGTCCTTGAGGAATCCTGAATCCCACAACCAGGGCTGTGGATGAACCTCCTCATGCCTCAAATCCTCCCCAAATATTTTTGCCCTCCATCTCCTGCATCCTCCACCTCCCCCAGCCCCTTGTCTTGGGAACAAATCGATGCCTCTCGTCGAGCTGTTGTTTGTGGAATCGGACTCGGTGTCAAACCCAGCTCAGATTAGTCCTGTGCAAGGAGTATTTTTAGCTCTGAGGGTGGCTGGATCCTGTGGGAGACGTGAGCTGGGTGCTGATGAGGCCTGCAGGACAGGGACACTTGCTGTGGGGGGGAGTTTTCTGTGTCTCGTGGCGCAGGGAAGGACGAGAGGAGCTGGAAAATCATCCTGAACGTGACACAGCAGGAGCTGCTGAGTGACCAGGATCATCCTTTGGGATCAGGGACACGGGGCTGGGAGTTTTTAGGGAAAAGGGATCATCCACGTGGGCAGGGACGGATCTGTTGTTGTTCTTGTCCAGCTCTGTGCTCGGGGGTCTCTGTGGTGGCTCTGGTGACACTCTGGTGGCAGTGCTGCAATTCCAGCTGCCATCCGTGAGGATCCTGTTTTCCAGGAGCACCTGCAGGCACTAATTGACTCCGTTCTGCATCTCTAATTGGGGGCCATCAATAACCCAGCCAGGCTGCTCTGCTGCCTAATGAGCTCCAGCAGCTCCTGGCATTGAGGGAAGATCTGAAGCCATCCCAAGGTGGGAGTTGTCAGCTGGCTCTGCCCATGGCCCTGTGGCCCCCTCTCCAAGCACAGTGGCCTGGCTGTGTCCCCCTGGGTGCCACCTTTGCTCTGCAGCAGGATTGGATTTCAATTTAATTCGGCTGCTCATGGCCGGGATGACACAGGGATAATGCAGGAGCAGATGGGAGTCCCTGGGGATTAAATCATTAACCTCAGTGGCAGGGAAGCTGTCTGGGGACCACAGCCTGGGATCTTCATCCCTGTGTGCAGACAGCACAGGGATAAAATTCAGGCTCAAGGCAGGGCAGTGGGGTTACTGGACACAGCTGGGAGCATCTCCTGGGATGGCAATTTCTGCAGGAGATGAGGTTCAGTGGTGACCAGGGGACAGCTTGATATTTTGTGGGGGCTTTGTTGAGTTTTCCCCTCCTAAAAACCCCTCCTCTCTTATTTCCAAAAATTGCCAGCCTGCTGTAGCACCTTCAGCAAGCACCTGGATGAGCATGGGATGGGACACTTGGAAAAACCCCAGTGGTGCTTTACCTTTAGCTCCCTGCCCACTTGGAGGGGAGGAAAATTGCTTCTCATTTCTCATCCCAATTTTAATTATGCTTCCCTTAATCTGGAGCTTGGCTGCTTTTCTTTTCCCTTTCCCATCAGGAGAACGAGCCTTAATTTAATATTCATCCCTTTAAGGCACACGATTTCCCCATGGAGACGAGGCTGGGCTTCATTCTGGAGGCTCTTGGTGACCTCCTTTGTGTTTCTCTGGAATTTTATCCCCATGGATGTGGTGGCTGAGCCCATCCCTGCTGCACTGAGGAGCACGTGGATGGTGGTGGCCTGGATCAGGTCCTTCCTCGTGGATCAGGTCCTTCTCCCACCCTTTTTGCTGCATTAAAAGTCCTCCCTGCCCACAATTTAAAGCCCATTAAGGACATCCTGGCCATTCATTCCTGCAGTGCTAATGAATATTTAAATGCAGCAAACTCCTGCTCTGTTTTTAAACCTCATTTCCTGGGATCATCAGCGCTTCATTCTGGTCACTCAGTCCCCTTTCCCATCCCTCTTCTCCTGCTGCAATGCCGAGAGTTCCCAAATCATCATTTGGGTTGGAAAAGACTTCTGGAGTCATGGGATCCAACCTTAAACCAGCCCTGCCAAAGCCACCATGGGTTCTGTCCCATCCAGAACCCAGCCTAAGGCAATCCCTCATCCCTGTGGGATCTTTTTCCTTCCAAAAATCATGGAAAATGTTTGGATGTGCCCCTGGGCCCTTCCCTGCCTGCTCCAGGGCTCTGGAATGGGGCAGCAGCACCCAGGGATGTCCCTCAGTGCTCACTTTCCCCATTCCAAACCACATTCCAGGGACTGGGCTGATTTCCATCACCAGGGCCCTGTTTCTATGCTGATAAAGCTTCTCCTATCTCTTTTATCAGTGCCTAATCCCTGTAATCCCTGTTTTCCTGGCAGGTGAGGGATCTCTCCCCATCCCTGGGCTGGGCTGAGCCAGCTCGCTGCCACCGGCTCCAATTACTCCAATCCCAATTACGCCACTCCCAGATTTTTTCCCCCTATTTTAACAATGGGAAGGATATTTCCTGCTTTTTGAAGTGCAGATAATGGGGAGGAAGATGCTGCTGGAGCCGTGGAAGGCAGAGGGATGAGCTGGAGGCTGGTCCTGTGCAATAAAAGTGAGGAGGAAATGATCTCCGGTGGAGAGAAAAGCTTTTGGGAAGGCAGAAATCTCATTCCTGGTGAGGGCAGGGCTTCCCTTGCTTATTAATGGGAGAATGGGATGGATTTGGATCTCTGGAGGTGCTGGATGGAGCTGGAAGCAAACCTGGGGTTTTTTAATCCCAATTTTTGCCTTTATCAAGAGCTTCTCACCCCAAGGGTTTGGGCACAACCCCCCCTTTTCTTCCTGCCAGGTTCACACCAGGACTTTAAATTGAACTTTTTCTCTCCCAGCAGCATTTGAGTCATAGGGAAAAGAAAAAAAAAAAAAATAAAAAAAGCCAAATTTCTCCCTCTTGAATGGATGTTTTAATTAGGGAAATGTACTTGGCTTGCAAGTGGTGCCACAGGTGTGTCCTGGCTGCTGAGCTCTTCCAATGGTTCAAAAATCCCACTTAAGGAGCAGCTCGTGGTAAATGAGAGCCTGGGAGAGATTTTTGCAGCTAAATAATGAACCTCTTGAAATGCAAAGGCTTTTTCCTCTTTTTTTGACTTTTTTTTCCTCCCTCCCTTTGATTGTGCCATTTGTTCCAGTTTCTATAATAAGTTTGTTTGGGCTTGCAGATTTCCAACTGGAAGCTGCTTTGCTTGGAGCTGCTGCAGCTCAGCAGGAGGAACTGCAGGGGATTTGGTGTTTTTCATGAATAAAAGAGAGGTTTTTTTCCCCCAAAATGTCCCCCCTTGGTGAGGTGGGGGATGATAAAAGCTGGCTGTTGCGAGGATCATGCACTCCATGGGATGTGGGCTGGGGTTAATTGCTTTAAATAACGCTTGGGGAACAGCCAGGATCCAGGTTTTAATTGGAATTGCTGGCTGGGTGTTTGTGGGGTGATGGAGCCTCTGGGATTTCTGTGTTTGCCACGGGCTCTGGAGCTTGGGAAGGCACCAGGGGTGGATGGGGACTCCAGAGCTGGGTTATTCTCTGGGGAGGAACCACCTATGGATGTGAAGGGCAGGGATGGGACCACAAGTAAATCCCAGAATGGTTTGGGTTGGAAGGATCTCAGATCTCCTCTCATTCCATAGGCAGGGGTTGCTCCAGCCCCATCCCACCCTGGAGCAGGGGGCTTCTCCCTGAAGTGGGAAAGCACAGAATTCCCTGTCTGTGGTTTTGAGGGTGCTGTTTGTCAGCACCAGGATGAGAACCGCGATTGCTGCATTTCCAACCTCCGTGCTCCTGGCGCAGGCAGGAACCCGTGAACTCTCCCATCTGCTGTCTGGTGACACCAGAGCTGTGAAAACAGAGCCTTGTCCCCGCTGCTGGCTCTGTCTGGCTCTGCTGCTGCCCACCCAGCCCAGCTTCCAGCTGGGGACAGGCTGCAGGTTCATCTGGAAGTGGCAGGAGCCCAGCGGGATCAGCCCCCACACGGGGAGCAGTGGGAGATCCCTGGCTGGGTTTTGGCAGAGCTGAGGTGTTAACGTGACTTTGCTTGGATAATTTGTGGAATTATGGATCCACATCCCTGAGTGTGGCTGGGCTTGGTGGCTTTGAGATGCCCCTGTTGGCTGTAGTGAGGATTTTTGGGCTGTGATGGGCTGCATGTCCTAAAATGCTTCATTTTGGGGAAAAACTCCTCCCTGGGAGGGTGGTGAGGCCCTGGCACAGGTTGCCCATCCCTGGAACACCCTGGTCTAGTGGGAGATGTCCCTACCCATGGCAGGGGTGGAACTGGATGATTTTAAGGCTCCTCCAAACCAAAACCATTCTATGCTTATACATTTTCCCCTCCTCGTGCTGCTGTTCCTTTACTCGCCTTTTCCCCACGGAATTCTGGCTGTCCAACCCCAACCCCAGAGGCATTTTTGTGTGCAGGGAACCTGTGGATGGTTTATGAGCATTTCAGAGGCCCTGGCAGCCGAGTCACCACAAATCTGAAGCTGTCACCCCTCATGGGATGTCTGTCACCCCTTTTCCACGCCCGCCGGTTTCCTTTTGCCGCGGCTCCGTCGGATTTGGGTCAGGCTGCCACGGTGGGCTGCTCCCTCCGGTGGGCTCGGGTCTCCTCCTCCCTTTCTCCGCTCCTTCCTCACTGAATGACATAAATAATGCAGCTTTTTTTCCCTTGCTGTGCTATTTTTAGGGCCAGGATTCTGGGTTAGCTGAGCTCACGACGCCGACGCTGCAGCTCCTTCCTGCTTCCCAAACTCCTTCAGCCAATGCTGCCTTTCCAAAACTTCCTCAGCTGCTTTTGGTTTTTTGGTTTTTTTTTTACCTTTGCAGGAACCCGGTGTGTTTTCACAGCCTGATCTCCAGTGGGCTTTCACTTGCAAGAATTGCCATCACAACATATTTCCTCAAATAATAAGAAAATTAATTAATTAATTAATTCAGTCATCATTAGAGGCCTTCCAGGATCGCCTCCTTCAGCTCTTCATGGGCAGCTGCCGGGACTGGGTGGAAAGATTTCCATTTAGGGACAAGTTGCTCCATGCAAAGCTGCTGCCTTGGATGGATTTTCCATGTCCATGGAGCTCCCTGCAAGTCGATATTGTGCCATAGAAACCTGTTGGAATCCTATTTCCCTCTGGGATGTGCTGTTGTCCCATAGCTGGAAAAGGGAGACGTTCTGTGAGGAGCAACACCTGGAAAAGGAACAACCAAACCCAAGGCAGTGGTCACCCCCAGGGAGCAGGGCCTGGCCCTGTATCCTGCCCTTTTCCTGGCATTCCCTGTGCCCTTCCTGACATCCCTGTGCCCTCTGCAGGCGCCTGATGACCCGGCTGGAGGACATGCGCCGCAGCGTGCTGGGCGACGGCGTCAACCGCTGCATCCTCTGCGGGGAGCAGCTGGGGACAAGGGGCTCTTCCTGCGTCGTCTGTGAGGACTGCAAGAAGGTGAGACCCCCCCTCCAAACCCCACAAACCCCCCCAGCCTGGGGGCACAGCGGATTTTTGGGCGCCCATTTCCATGGCTCGCTGGCGGTTGCGCGGGCAGAGCTCTCCTTGCTGGTGTTGGGGACATTTTGGTGGCGCCGGTGTCACTCAGATCTTTGTTTCGCCCGCAGAATGTGTGCACCAAGTGTGGGGTGCAGACCACCAACAACCGTCCCCAGGCCATCTGGCTCTGCAAGATCTGCAGCGAGCAGCGGGAGGTGAGTGTGGCCCCTGTCCCCTCTGTCCCCACCCCACACCTCCAAGGCAGGCCCGACTCACCTCCCAGGGGCCTCCAGTCTCACCCAGCAGCTGTTCGAGCATCGTTCTTACAGGATGGTTTTGTTTTCTACATAAAATGATGTTTTATTTCATGAAAACAGAGGTTTGGGGCTCCAAGGAGCTGTTGTGAGTTAATTGATTAATTAATTAGCGGGATGGGCTGCAGGGTGGGGGTGTGGGGTCGCTGGAGGAGGACCACGGTGGTGTGAAGCCCTGAGAGGCCTGACCCTCTTCTCGCAGGTGTGGAAACGCTCCGGTGCCTGGTTCTTCAAGGGTTTGCCCAAGCAGATGCTGCCACAGCCGATGCCCATCAGCAAGAAGGGACCCCAGACCCCGAGCGAGCCCCGCCCGGCTGAGCCGCCCGCCCCCGACCCCAAACTCCCCTCCCGGGCACCCACCCGAGGTAGGTGACAGCAGGGGCTGCCCCCAACACTGCCAGTGAGGCTCTGAGCTCTTTCCCATCCTCAGCAAGGGAAAATTGTGGGGAAAAAGCATCCAGAGCAGTCATGTGGCTGCTGCCTGTGTCCTAAAGGGGGTGGCAGTGCAGCTGGAGGTGTTTGATTCAGGTTTTATCCAGGTGGGGGTGGATGGGCGTGACAGTGGTCACAGGGGTCTCAGGTTGAGGGAAGAGACGAGGATCTGACTCCACATTTCAGAAGGCTTGATTTATTATTTTATGATGTATATTACATTAAAACTACACTAAAAGAAAAAGTTTCATCTCAGAAGGCTGGCTAAGCTAAGAATAGAATGGAATGAATAACAAAGGTTTGTGCCTCGGACAGAGAGAGAGAGCCAGCTGTGCCGTGATTGGCCATTAATTCCAAACATCCACATGAGACCAATCACAGATGCACCTCTTGCATTCCACAGCAGCAGATAACCATTGGTTACATTTTGTTCCTGAGGCCTCCCAGCTTCTCAGAAAGAAAAAACCCTAAGGAAAGATTTTTAATGAAAAGATGTCTGCGACAGATGGGGTTGCAGGACATCCTCAAACAAAGCAGCCCCGGGTGGGGATCAGGGCCCGGCTGAGAGCTTGGGCAGTGCCTGGGTTGGGATGTGGTGATGGGGAAGCCTTCAAAAAATAGGGAAATCTGGGAAAACAGTGGCAGGGCATCCCGGGATGGGGTTGGGGGTGTATGGGCGGCAGCTTCACCCCCTCTCGCTCTGTTTGTGCCCCCAAGGCCAGGTGGATGCCGAGGACACCGAGGGTAAGCACCGGCCTTTGTCCCCTCCCTGTGCTGAGCCCTGTGCCTGCCTCCTTCTCCTCCCAAGGCGTTTTCCTGCCCAGTTTCCCCGGGGATGCTGCAGCAGGATCGCTCCTTGCTGCTGCTGCCACCCACCCTGCGGGGGTCCGGGTTATTCCAGGGTTATTCCAGGGTTATTCCAGGGCTTCCCCACCTCCCGCACACCCTGGGGCTGAGCTGGAGCTGCCTCCGTGGGTGGTGGGTCCTGCTGGGAGGGGCAGGTGGTTTTTGGGGTTTTTTTTCTGGTTATTTAACCAGAAATCCTTGGAAAACCTCCCAGGGAAAGTCGAGGAGGCTTGTTACACTGCTGTTAAATCCCCCCACAGGGATGGGGACTCCTGGGCAGTGGGCAGTGGTGTCAGGGTTGGACAATCCTCCCAGTGAAGAAATTTTCCCAAATATCCAACCTAAACCTCACCAGGCACAACTTGAGGCCGTTTCCTCTTGTCCTGTTGATTCTTGCCTGGGAGAAGAGCCCAAACCCCATGTGGGTCCTGTCTGGGAGATGTGGAGAGTGAGAAGGTCCCTCTGGGAGTTCATTTTGAGTAACAGCCCCCATTTTCACACTTCCACATGGGATGCCAAGGGGATGAGGATCCCTGATCTCCCTCCAACACTGTCTGCTCCTCATTTGGACAATAATTAAATTGGGAGCAGTGCAGTGGCTGCAAATTCTCCTCTTCCTCGGCTCCCTGGAAGAGGCAAAGAGGGGCTGAGGGGACAGTTCCCACCTGGAATGGTCCCCTCCATCCCACCCTTCCTTTAGCCCAGGTTCTGGTGCCCCAACTGATGATCTCCCTCTCCCCATGCAGCAGCAGTTGGGGGAAGCACTTAATTAAGGCAATTTAATCACTCCCCTAGCCAGTGCCTTAAACCTCCCAGCCCCAAGGGCAGCTTTTATTAATCCTGGAGTTGGGAATGCTTTGCCAGCTCCGCTCATCCCTCCCAGTGCTCAGCATGCTCCTGCCGTGCCCATGATCTTCCTACAGCTCCCTTGGAAAATTATTTATTGCACGGCTCTCTCTGCACCACGGGGCTCCTGCTCCTGGCTGCTCATTCCCTCCTCTCCCTGCTCTTCAGCATTCCCGGTGTTTTTCCCTCTCTCCCTCCTCCTTTTTCCCCGCCACAATCTGTTGCTTTGTCCTCACGCCCGGTGACCCTGAGAGCCCAGCCAAGGAGAAACAGCCCATTTATGTCATGGCAAAGATTTATCCCTGGCGTCTCCAGCAGCAGCCAGGTGAGCGCCGGGACCTTTTCCGTCACGTCCACGGGGTCGCCATCCATCACCCCGGAGCGCCGGGCTGCGATGGATCCGCTGGGACCGCTGGTGATGGAAGGGAGAGGCACAGGCAGCTGCCACGGCTGTCTGCTTAACAAATGGGAGATGATCAGCTGAAGGAAAATAGGATTCCCCCCCACAAATGGAATGTGGAGCTGTCACAGGAGGTGCCATCAGGGGTTTGTTTGTGATGGGTGCCGAGGATCGGGTGATGGATACCTCAGGCCTTGTTTTTCCGTGTCCTTGGGAATTTCCTGAGTGCAGGGCTGATGGTGCAGAGCCCTCCTGCTGCAGTGCCCGGAGCTCGGAGGTGCTGCTGCAGTGGCCGTACCCATTGTCCCCCTGTGATGGTGTCTTGGGATGAGGGAAGAGACGAAGGTCTGACTCCATGTTTCAGAAGGCTTGATTTATTATTTTATCATATATATTACATTAAAACTATGCTAAAAGAATAGAAGAAAGGTTTCCTCAGAAGGCTAGCTAAGAATAGAATAGCAAAGAATGATAACTAAAGTTTGTGGCTCAGCTCTCTCTCTGAGCCAGCTGGACTGTGATTGGCCATTAATTAGAAACAACCACCATGAGACCAATCACAGATCCACCTGTTGCACTCCACAGCAGCAGATAACCATTGTTTATATTCTGTTCCTGAGGTCTCCCAGCTTCTCGCGAGGAAAAATCCCAAGGAAAGGATTTTTCATAAGAGATGTCTGCGACATCCCCTTGCTCCCGGCACCCAGGCCAGGGATAGCAGCTCGCTTTTCCAGCCTCACTGCTCCTTCCTCCCTTTCCCTGCAGGCACCGAGGGCACAGCGGCCGCCCGGGGGAGCCGCAGGGTGGCCGAGGGCAGGCCGGGTCCGTGTGGCAGCGAGGACACCGCTGGGGACAGCGACAGCCGGGACTACGCTGAGAGCGTCGTCAGCAGGAGCCCAGGTGAGAGTGATGCTGCTCCTGCATCCCTGGACAGACAGATGGATGGACACAACACCGGGAGCCCTCTGAGGGTGCTCTCTGCTGATTGTCCCCTGTCCTTACAGGTGTGAAGAGAACCAACTCCGTGCAAGGCCAGCGGCCACCCCCGCCGGCCACCGCTGCAGCCACCGCTGGATCTGCCCCGGCAGCGGCGGCACCCGCAGGTGGGATGGGGATGGGATTGGGATGGGATGGGGTGGGATTGGGATGGGATGGGAGTATGACCAACGGTTCTGTCCCTGGGGACACCCCATGGGCTGAAGCCACCAGGGGATGTCCCAGGTGCTGATGCCACCTCTGTCCCCAGCAGCAGCAGCAGCAGCAAGGCCAGGTCCTGGGGGTCCCACCCGTTTCCCGGACAGACAAGGTAACCCCGGGCTGGCTGTGGGGTCTGGGGGGCACCGCGGGCTGGGCGCTAACAGGGTCCCCCCTTCCCACAGCAAGCCCCCCAGAGACGGCCCGTGGAGCTGCCAGGGAGGAGCGGGGAGGGGGTTTGGCTGCACCCCCCGGCAGGGAGGAGAGGCCGGGCTGGCAGCCCCCTGCCCCCAGCCAGCCCCAGCCTGCAGCCCCGGCTCCGCAGAGGCAGCAGCAGCCCCGAGAGGAGGAGGAGGAGGATGCCAACAGCTACGACTCAGATGAAGGCAGTATGTACCCGGGAAGGGAGGGAGATTCTTTGGGAAATGTGGGATTTGGAGGAGGGTGGGTGTGACTTGGGTTGGTGTCTAGCAGGGAAAGTCCTTGGGGAATGATGGGTGGGAGTTTGATGGGGAGGATCTGTGGTAGAACATCCTGGGTGAGAAGAGCTACTGGGGTCGGGATCAGGTGCTTGGATTGGAGCAGCTGATGCCCTCTCTGCCTGCTCTTCATCCCCGGGATGAAGGAGAACGAACCTGAGATGGTTTCCAGGGAGCCAAGAGAGGAGCCAGGTGCTGAGCCCAGCTTGGGGAGGAGCTGCTGTCCCGAGCTGGAGCATCTCCTCAGCATGGTCCAGGGTGGAATTGCTGTGGGAAGGGTCGGTAGGGTTACTCCTCCTTTGCCTGGAGAATACTGGAGTCAGCTCCAGAGCCCCAGGCTGCTATCCCTGGGCTGTGCAGAGTTCCCAAATCCGCCTGGATTTGCGGCGCTTTGGCCGCTGCCAGCACAGTGTCACTGCATTAAACAGCTTTTACATTTGACCCGCAAATCTTTCTAATTATTACTAATCGGGGATGATTAAATGCAGTTATTGGCTGGGCTTTTTATAAGGTTGTTTCCTCCTCCTTTTCCCTCGCTGTCAGCCACGCTGGGAGCTCTGGAGTTCAGCCTGCTCTACGACCAGGACAACAGCTCCCTGCACTGCACCCTCATCAAGGCCAAGGCAAGAGCTCCTCTTTTCTCCCCTTTTTTCCTTATTTAAACCCATCTGGCTGCCAGTTTCTCTGGTGCAATGGGAAGGAAGCCATGTGGCTGCTGGCAGAGGCTGCTCCCTTGGGAGGCTCCAGGCACAGCTGCTCCTGGCTGGGGAGGGTTGGGGGGCTTTTCCTTGTGTGGATCCAAGAGATCTGTGGGAGTGGTGATGCCCTGGAACAGTCCTCCCAAAGAAGCTGTGGCTGCCCCATCCCTGGGAGTGTCCCAGGCCAGGTTGGACAGGGTTTGGAGCAGCCTGGGATAGTGGAAGATGTTCCTGCTTGTGGCAGGGGGTGGGATTTGGTGATATTTGAGGTCTCTTCTGACCCAAACCATCCTGTGATTCTACAATGCTGATTTTTCCAGGATGGATTGGTTCAGCACATCCTGGCACCCACAGCTGCTCAGGGCAGAGGCTCCTGGGTCACTGAACACATTTTCTCTTTGTGTTTTTCATGAGCAGATTTTTCTCTTCCTTGGCTTTGCTGAAGGAGAATTCACATCCTATGTTTCCTTTATCCTTTTTTAGGGCTTAAAACCAATGGATTCCAATGGCCTGGCTGATCCCTATGTGAAGCTGCACCTCCTGCCTGGAGCCAGCAAGGTGAGGCTTGCCAGGTTTGGTGCTGGGGATGGAGCAGAGGTTTCTCAAATCAGATCAGATTTTCCCTGTTGATTTCTCTGCTTGCTGCTGTTTTCCCTGGGGGTGTCTCTGAACAGGGAGGATGCTCCCAGATGCTCTCCCAGACCCGAGGAACAGCTCATCCTGCAGGCAGGAATCTGCTCAGGGATGGAGGGAAGCTCCAGAGGAGGCATTGCTGTTAATGCATCACGAAACATCTGCCCAAAAAAAATCTAATTATGCCCAGGGTTGGAATTATCCATTTGCTTGGAAGTTGCAGCACGTTCTTGTTGGAGCTGTGGGGAGAGAACTGTGGGGGAAACTCTGGCTCCATGATGGAAATTCCTGGAAATTTCCCTCCCCAGCCCAGCTGAGCTGATCTGGGTGGGCAAATCTTGAGGAAGGAATGAGCACCAGCAGTGCTGGCTCTTTGCTTAGAGGGTGCAGGAGAGTTCTGCTCAGAGGAACCAGGAGTAAAACCAGGGGAAAACTGATAATAAAGTAATTGGATTGATTTATGCACGGGGACACCTGGTCTTGTTTGGAGGAAATCCAGGTGTGATGTTGGGAATTACTTTGATTTCTGCTGCTCTCATTTGCTGATATTTATTTTAATTTTATTTCAAATTTTGAACATGTGGTTGTGAAAGACATACAAGCAAGTGACAGCTCCTCAATTCCTCACTGTCCCCTCCTTTAGACCATGAGAGCTGTGGCCTGATACCTCACATCCTGCCCTGGGCACCTTTTCACCTCTCCTTGAGGGAATAAACCCCAGGGAGTGACAAAATCCAGTCTCTCCTGGCCACCACATGTCACCAAATTCCCGATGCTTGTGCAAAATTCCACCTTGATCCTCCCTGAGAGCTCACCTTTGCCAGCTGTGATGGGGCAGCCCTGCCAGGAGCTGGGATTTGAGCAGGGAGGAATCCTGGGGTATTGGTACCACCAATATTGTGGACAGGACGTGCTTTGGCTTGTCTGGCCCTTGCTGCTGAACCAAACAGTGGCAACTGTGGTGTTTCACCCCAGAGACACTTTGGGCTGGCTGGGTGTGTGGTGTTTCACCCCAGAGACACTTTGGGCTGGCTGGGTGTGTGGTGTTTCACCTTTTGGCTGGCTGGGTGTGTGGTGTTTCACCTTTTGGCTGGCTAGGTGTGTGGTGTTTCACCCCATTTTTGGCTGGCTGGGTGTGTGGTGTTTCACCCCACAGACACTTTGGGCTGGCTGGGTGCTGCAGCTGGGCCCGTCGAGAGAAGTCCAGGCCTGCAGGAGCTCTGGTGGTGCTGGGATGGAGCTTCCCCCCATAACAGGGGCTGCTCCTCAGGTTTCCCTCTGGCAGAGAAGCTTTAAGGTGATGGTGAAGGAAAGGAGTCGGTTCTGATGGAGGGTTTGGATCCAGAGCTTTATTCTGGCCCACAGGCCTCTGAATGCAGCACCAGCTCCAACAGAACTCCCTGAGCCCGTGGTTGCTGTTCCTTTGAACCCCGGGGAGAGGGGCAGGGAAGGGGCAAGGAGCCACCAGCCAGGTACAAGGGACAAAGGACACCTGGATGGCCAAATGCCCCTCAGGGGTAGAGGGCAATCTTTGAATCTGCCAATCCCTTCTGGAATTCCAGGACTGACAGACAGTGCTGGGAGGGGAAAGGAGAGGTGACTGGCACACCTGGGAGGGAAATATCAGGGGAGAAACCCAGGGTTCTGAGGTAAGCCCTGAACTCACACTGATTCCCCTGTGTTTGTGCGACCCCACAGTCCAACAAGCTGAGGACAAAGACGCTGCGCAACACTCGGAACCCGGTGTGGAACGAGACCCTGGTGTACCACGGCATCACCGACGAGGACATGCAGAGGAAAACCCTCAGGCAAGGCCAGCAGGAGCCCGGGGGTGCCACGGGGTTGGGTTTGGGGTGTCCTCACTCACAGCACCACCCCCAGGAGTGCAGGGGGGTTAGGAATGTGAGAAATGCAGTTTTGGGTTAAAATCAACATGAATTTGGTCATCTGGATGGTTGTTTGAAGAGAGGAGAACTGGCATTTTGACCTTGTAATTTCATAGTAAATCATTGATTATGCTATCATTTTTATCATCACAGAGATGTGCGCCTCTGCTGATTTGACAATAACCCAGAAAAAAAAGTCTATATAAATATCTCTTAAAATTTATGGCTCTTACCCCTCTCAGGAAACTTCCACCTCTTGATTTCTTGCCCATCACAAAGCAAATATTAAAAATGTTGACCTTTTTTTTTTTTTTTTGGCCAAGATAGAAATCTGGGGTTTGATGGCTTTTGGTCAGAGGAAATCCACATCAAGAGTGGATTTGGGGGATTTTGTTTTGTTTTTCCCTCCCCCCAGCAGTGCCCCTGCAGGGATGGGTTTGGCTCTGGAGTCAGGCACTGCTCCAGCCTGGTTGATGTTCCCTTTCCCCTCTTCCCTCCAGGATCTCCGTATGTGATGAGGACAAATTTGGCCACAACGAGTTCATTGGAGAAACCAGAGTTGCCTTGAAAAAACTCAAAGCCAACCAGAAAAAGAACTTCAACATCTGCCTGGAGAGAGTAATACCAGTGAGTGTCCATGAAAATCCCTTCTGTTCCCTTTGGAAATGGCCCCTGAGGGATGCAGGGATGGGCTGGAGGTGCCTGACTTCCCTGGCACCTTTAAGAGTTACATTGGCACCTGTGCCTGGGCTGATGTGATATTCCAAGGCCAGGAGATGAGAGGCTGGTGGGAATCCATGGGAAGAGACTCCAGGGCCTGCTCCTGTTGGCATTTCCAGCCCTTGGGGATGGATGTCACCGTGGAGGAGGGCACAGGTTGCTTTGTCCTCCGTTGAATCCACTGGGATGGGGATTGATGGAGCAGATGGAGATTCCTGAGGCTCTTCCAGGAGCTGGGCTGCATGCATTCCCAGGGTTTTTTGCTGTGGGATGGTGCCTCTCCCAGTCATTCATGGCATTCTCCTTGTCCCTTTCCCACCCCAGACGAAGCGTGCCGGAACGACCGGCGCATCCCGTGGGATGGCTCTGTACGAGGAGGAGGTGAGTCCTTGGAGCAGCACAAGCTCCATCCATGTCCTTTCCACCATCCCTTGTGTACAACCCCAATGTCCCCCTGTCCCAGCAATCCCACATTCCTTGATATCCATTCCATCCCTTCTCCTCCACGCCGAATTTTCCCTCCTGATGCAAGAGAGGTTCCTTGGCACAAGAGATGGCTTTGGAGGGAAGTAACTGAAAGGAGAACAGGGAGAAAGAGACAAAATTAGGAAAATATAATATTCAAAGCCAGCTCTGATCTTAATGTTTTGTTTGCTGCACCTTCATTCTGAATGGAATTATCAAATAGGCAATAACAACCCACAATAAAAATAAATAATAAATAATTATATATACGCACACACATAGGTGACATAAATTATAATTAAAACACAGTCTGCTCTGTCTCGTAGAAAACAAAATTAATTTAAAACAAACAAACAAACAAAAAGAAAAAACTGACTGAAAACTTGACTCTGAAAACTGCACTCTGATCTGACAGAAGCTTGGCTAGGAGAAGGAAAAATTAAGGCCAACAGCTGAGCCAGAGGAGAGATGTGAGGGAGGAAACATTATTGCCACATTTGACACCCACCTCTGTGGTGGTGTTCACAGGGGTCCCAGGACGAGGGAAGAGATGAGAATCTTGACTCTGTGTTTCAGAAGGCTAATTTATTATTTATTGATATATATTATATTAAAAGAAAATTATATACTAAAACTATACTAAAATAATAGAAGAAAGGATTTCATCAGAAGGCTAGCAAGGAAGGCTAGCAAGGAATAGAAATGGAACTATAATAAAATCTTGTGACTGACCAGAGAGTCCTGACACAGCTGGGCTGTGATTGGCCATTAATTAAAAACAACCACACGAGACCAATCACAGATTCACCTGTTGCATTCCACAGCAGCAGATAATCATTATTTACACTTCCTTTCTGAGGCCTCTCAGCTTTTCGGGAGAATAACATCCTAACGAAAGGATTTTTCCATAAAACGCGTCCATGACACTCTTTTGGCGGCTCCTCCCGCAGGTGGATCGCGGCGGGGACGTGGAGGAGCGGGGGAAGATCCTGGTGTCCCTGATGTACAGCACCCAGCAGGGCGGGCTCATCGTGGGCATCGTGCGCTGCGTGCACCTGGCCGCCATGGATGCCAACGGATACTCAGATCCCTTCGTCAAGCTGTGAGTCACCGGGGCTGGAGCCTTCTGCTCTCCTTCCTCTGGAGCAAATTAAGGAAATTCAGGGCAAATCTGGTGTCACCGGTGTCATCCTGAGAGTCCTGCTTGAGCTTCACCTCTGGTGATGTCCCCAGTGTGGGTGGTGTTGAGCTAGCCCTTGGGTCTGTGGCTCTCCAAGTGCCCAGATCTCTGTGGTTGCCTCATGGAGAATCCCAGAATTGTTAAAGGCTGGAAAAGACTTCAAGAGTCCAAGCTTGGACTGATCACCTTGTGTCTGCAAGCAGAGGGCACGTGGGGGATGTGGGGTGGATTTGGGGCTGGTGCCAACTTCCAGTTCCCAACTTCCAATTCCCAACTTCCAGTTCCCAACTTCCAATTTCCAACTTCCCTGGGATCCATAGGAGTGGGATTCCCACCCGTGACTCACCAAGGGTGTGGTGGGACTCCAGGGACAGTGGAAGCTGGAGGAAAGGGGATCCTTCTCTCCAACTCTGACCCACCCTGGCTGCAGGACAGAGGTGGCTCCGTGTCCCTCGGTGCCCTGCTTGCTGCCCCATAAACCCACATGGCTCCTGCGAATCCTGTGGGGTTTTTATCCCAGCCTCGTGAGCTGCACCACAGAGAAATCCCTGTAGCCATTCCTGTTTTTTCCTTTGCCTTCAGAAAAAACCTCTATTCTCACTAAAACTCGTTCAGTGACTCTCATGTTGACCATATTCTGCTCATCTTTTTGTAGCTCAGTAGAGCTGAGCAGCTTCCCTTCCCAGTCTCTCTTAATTTGTTGCATTTTCCATTTCCAGAAGCAGAAGATGGTGGCTTTACATTTTTAAATCAGTGATCTAATTAATCCCAGCCCTAAATTGAGTTCTGGATCTGCAGCCAGGCTGCACAGCCCCAGCCCCACACTTTTCCCACATCCTCTGGAAGGTGGGAGGAGAGACTGGCTCTAAATAAATCTCTTCCAGCCCAGAAGCTCACTTTTTAAGCTTATGAACTCCCACTGTTCTTGCACTTGAATTTTGAGCTGTTTTCTGTTGCCCCCAGTTGGCTGAAACCTGACATGGGAAAAAAGGCCAAGCACAAGACACAGATTAAGAAGAAAACGTTGAATCCTGAATTTAACGAGGTATGGATGGATTTTTTTTATATTATTAAATCAATTCACCGAGTGCTGTGTTGAGTGGAGGAGGTGGAAGACAAACTCCCCAAGCTTTGGCTCTTTGCTCAAGCTCCTTTCCCACTCCCGTGCCCAGGAATATTTTTGGGAATGACTTTGCCATGGCAGCACCACACACCCTGAAATCTCCCTGCATCCCAGCTGGGGATGTGGGTGGGATGAGCATTCTAGGGGGTGGAAACTGGAAATTCTCCACTGGTGCTGCTTTGATGGGACAGCTGGAAAGGGCTCACGTAGGTGCAGGGGGTGAGCTCAGCTCCTGGAAAAGAGGTGCCACAGGGAGGGAGAGTTTTTCCTTCATTAATTACATTAATTGCTGCAGCTTTTAGGGTGTGTTTTCCTTTCTGCAGGAGTTCTTCTATGACATCAAACACAGCGACCTGGCCAAGAAATCCCTGGACATTTCCGTCTGGGATTACGACATCGGGAAATCCAACGACTACATCGGTGAGCCACGAGCTGGGAGGCTCTGCCCTCTGGGGCAGGGTTTGGTGCCTGCTATGGGGTTTGCTGGATGTCAGGGGGGTCCTGGGTCACCTGCCCAGGTGGGATGATGGAATCTGGTGGGTGCACCTCTACACTGCCCCGCCTCCAGCATCTTTTGGGCAGGAAAGGCATCTCCGGGTGTTTCCATTAGATTTTTGAGCCAGGTGATGGAAAAAGCGTTGCAGGGTGTGAGGTGTGTGCCCATGGCAGGATTTCCTGGCACATCAGCACCACTGTGGTTATGACTCCATGAGGGGATAATCAATGCCACTTACTGGAGGTCACCAAATGTGGCAGTGTTCTTCACTCAGTGTTCACTAAGTGTTGAATTTGCAAGGCAACCTTGACATGGGAAGAGATGAGAATCTTGACTCCATGTTTCAGAAGGCTGATTTATTATTTTACTATATATATTATATTAAAAGAAAATTTTATATATTTATATAATTTTTATATATATATCTCTACTAATAATAGTATATATATATATACACACTAAAAGAATAAAAAGAAATATTTCATCAGAAGGCTAGAAAAGAAAAAATAATAATAAAATCTTGTGACTAACCAGAGAGTCCGAGATAGCTGGACTGTGATTGGCCATTAATTAAAAACAACCACATAAGACCAATCAAAAATGCACCTGTTGCATTCCACAACAGCAGATAATTTATTATTTACATTTCGTTTTTAAAGCCTCTCAGCTTCTCAAGAGAAAAAAAAATCTTAGCAAAAAGATTTTTTCATAAAATACATCCATGACAGCACCACCTGTGGATACAAACTCTGCTCTTCTCCCCTCTCCCCAGGCGGTTGCCAGCTGGGAATCACGGCCAAGGGCGAGCGCTTGAAACACTGGTACGAGTGCTTGAAGAACAAGGACAAGAAGATCGAGCGCTGGCACACCCTGCAGAATGAGAACCATGTGGCCAGTGATTAAAGGGAGCCTCTGCCCAGCCCTCCCTGCCCTCTGCCACACCCCTGTAGGTCCCTGATGTCCCCAAAGTCCCCGATGTCCCTGGTGTCCCGTCTTCCAGTGCAGCCATGCCTTGCTACAGCCTCTGATCCCAGGGTCCTCCTCCTCCTCCTCCAAACCCCCTCCACCGGAAACCCCCCCAGATCTTTTCTATTCTCCTTTATTTATTTTCAGGTGGGGGAGGGAGGCTGTTGAGTTCTCCTGGTGTGTAATTTTGGCAAGCAATAGTTCCCTCCTGACTGTTCCCCCCTCTCTCTCCGTTCCCGTCGCGTTTCTGACGCTCTGTGTCCCTCCAGCCTCCGCTCCTCGCGTCTCCCCATGGAGGAGATGGGAGTGCTGGGCTTGGGAGCATCAGCCTGTCCTCGCTTGTGTGATCTCAATACCTCAGTTGCAATAAGGAAAAAAGCTCCTTGGCTTTGGTGTGGGTGTCACCGTTCGCCTGGTGTCCGTGTCGTCGTGGTTAGGCCAAAAAATCCGGTGTCACCGGAGTCATCCTGCGAGTCCTGCTTGAGCTTCACCTCTGCTCTGGCCCACCTGAGCAATGTTGTGGCACATCCTTTGCTGAGAAGATCCACCACCAACACCATGACAGCGACAAGGAGGGTTTAGGGAGCTCTGTGCTCGCAGGGGAGCAGGTTTGGGTTGGTTTTTGTCCTTTCGCCCGAGGAATTCGGGGGCTCTGCTGCTGTAGGGGCCCAGCTGTGTTTTAGGGCTGTGACTACCTCCTCCTCACCCCTGAGCTGTGTAGTGGTGACTGGCTGAGCCCTAAAGGGGTCCTAGGTCCCCTCAGACCCCTCCTGCTCCCAAGGATTTTCGGTTCCTCAGGAGGGAAGCTGAGGGAGCTGCTGCTTCCCCCAAAACCCCTGATGTGTACAAGGATTTTTGCTTTAAACCACCACAGCTCCTGGAATTAGCTGGAACAATCTGAGATCTTCCAAACTTGGGTTGTTTTGGTTTGGTTTCCTTTCGTTTTTCCCAGTTTTCTGCACAAGAACCCCTCAGCCTGCACTTTAGGGATGGCCTGGAGCTGTTGGATCTGGTCTGGACAGCAGGAGAGCACAGACTCTGCAGCTGCTGCTGTTGCTGGGCTCTGGAACATTTCCCTGGCTCTGGAACACCCCAGGCCCTGTGGATAGGAGCACACTAAGCACTAATGGAATATATGGAATTTTCTTGTCACACTGAGCATGGTGTGTGAAACCTCCCCCTGCACCCTCTGCTGCTGCTGCCCTCTCTTTGAGTTGGATGAATTCTGGTTTTCCTGGTATTTTCTTTATCTCCCCCCAGCCCCAGCAGAACTTGCTGATGTGCCCTGAGTGTCCCCAGCCCTGGGTGACACAAACCCCAGCCTGGCACAGGTTTCCCCCCGTCCTTGGATCTCCAGGTGGGAAAAGCCAACCCAACCCATTCCAGAGGGTCCAGACAGAGCTGGGAATCCTCTTCCATCACCCCAAGTGATGTGATGGTGCTTGGGGTGGAAAGGAAGAGGATACCTGGAAATTTTCCTCTTTTTCATGGAATTTTTGTGCCATTCGGTGGCATCCCTGAGCTACCCTGGCCAGGACCAGACTGAAACAATTCCATTTTTTTGGACTGTTCCCCTCTGCACCCCGTGCTGAAACCTCCCTGCTCCAGGCCCAGCTGAGCTGTGGGATGCTGGGATCCAGGATCAATGGCTGGATTCTCCCTTTTTCAGCATTAATGACTCCAAGCTGCCACCACCCTTTCCAGAGGGATGGACCTGGCCCAAAAAATTCCTGTTCGTAACCAAAGGAGCCCTTGGGCACGGAGCGGTGCTGGGGAAATGTGTGGCTGAGGGTAAAAAAACCTTTAAAAATCATTATTTAAGCAATTCCCTTATTTCTCCCAGTCCTGCAGCAGCCCAGCCTCCTTTGTATGTGCAGAACAACTCACTCGAGGTTACCCTTTTCCCATCCTGTATTCCTATTCCCTGTTCAGCCTGCTTTCTTTGGGAAAAGATACTCAGATCATCTCTTTGCACCTCCAAAAATCAAGTGCAACTTGCCAATCTCCTCAGTAATGTGCAAAACCACAGCCCTGGTCTCTGCCCCCTCCTCTTCTCAGTTTTTCTGATGGTTATTCCTGCCCTGAATGAGTTCTTTTTGTTGTAAATAAAGCATGCACCTATGGATTGGGAATGGTGAAAAACAAACAAACAAAAAAAAAAAAAGCAAAAAGAAGAAAATTAAAAGCCTCTTCTACTGCTGTTTGCATTCAGACTCGCATGCAGTGATTTTACAGCCAAATATCAGTTTACAACTGTTAAAGAGAAAAAGAAAACCTTACACAGGAATTAGAAATCCTCCAGTCTTCCGCTGCATGCAGCACAACATCCTCTCTTGATGTGGTATCTAATAAAGTGAGACTATTGGAAAAGAATAAAAAAAATACAGATTTTTGGCTTCTTTCATTCCCTGTGGGAACAGGAAACTCGTGGGGTGAACAAAGGGGCTGGTTCTGGGAATTCCTGGTGGGTTGGGGCTGCTGGAATTGGGTTGGGCTGGAGATGTTGAGAAGTTTGGGGTGGTTGGGAGGGAGATCCTGGCTTGGAGTAACAGGAATTCCTGTGTTTGGGAATATCCTGGGTAAAATCATGCAGATTAAAATCATCCATGGGATCCCCTCTCTTGGTGCCTGGGAGTGAAAGCCCTGAGGAAAAGCAGGAATGGTGCTGGGAGAATTTTTTCTTTCTCAGTTCCCTCTCATCCCCAGTTTGGGAAGGAGGAGCTGCTCCCTCAAGGGCGACAGCTCCAACCAAGAAAGGAATTCCTTTTATTTATTTTCTTTTATTCACTTTTGTTTATATATTTTTATTTCCTTTTATTGGGGCGTTTTTAGGCTCTATTCCCAGGACAGGGCTGGTGGGTGACACGGACACATTTTATAAAAAATCCTTTTGCCAGGACTTTTTTCTTCTGAGAAGCTGAGAGGCCTCAGGAACGAAATGTAATCAATAATTACCTGCTGCTGTGGAATGCAACAGGTGGATCTGTGATTGGTCTCATGTGGTTGTTTTTAATTAATGGTCAATCACAGGTCCAGCTGGCTCGGACTCTCTGGTCAGTCACAAGATTTTATTATCATTCCATTCTTTTCCTTTGCTAGCCTTCTGAGGAAATGCTTTTTCTTTCTTTAGTGTAGTTTTAGTATATAATAAGTAGTAAATAATAAATAATAAAAACCATAATAAATTAGTTTTAGTATATAAAAACTAAAAATATAAAAAATTAATAAATAAATTATTAGTATATAATAAATAATATTAATTTATTAATATAATATAATGTAATATTTATTATTATAGGTTATCTAAATAATATAAAATATATATAATATATAACATATATTAAATATATAAATATATATATTAAAAATATATAAAAATAATAAATCAGCCTTCTGAAACACGGAGTCAAGATTCTTGTCTCTTCCCTCGTCCTGGGACCCCTGCAAACACCGGGCCAGTGGCGATGCCCGGAGACAGCAGCAGATGTCACTGGAGCTCCAGGCATGGAGCAGGGAGGAGGCACCGCAAGGATGTCCCGATATTTCCAGGAATTTGGGAATTTTTGGGGCAATCGCTCCTCCTGCCGCTCAAACCTTCAGCGGCAGGGAAGAGTTGAGGCTTCGTCCTCTGGGAAAAAACCTTCCCAGCAGCCTTAAAACTGAGCTTTAACTTCTTTTTATTGGTTTTGTTTTCCAGCGTTGTGTTCTCCTCATTGATTTTTCATCCTCTTTTCCATTTCCAGCAGGGAAATCCCAGGAGAGGAATTCCAGTGCCATCCAAGACCTCCCAACCAAGAAATCCAACCCAGGAGGTCCCAGCAGAGACCATCCAGCTGAAGAGATGGATTCCAGAGATGAAGATTGGGATGAGGATCCTCTGGGATGCAGGTGCTGTGGTGTTTGTGGATGACGCAGAACCATCCGTGGTTGTTGTGAATTCCTGCATGGGAAATTATTCCAAAGAGGAATTCTGCTCAAATCTTTGGGAATAAGAGAGGAACATTTATTCCCTCTAATTCCTGTTTCTCCTCCCGTTTTCTTCTCAGCCTCTCCAGGAGGAATTGCAAATTTGGCTCGTTCAGGACCATCCTTTGAGTCTCCTGCTTCTGTAGGCAGCTCCCCAGTTTTAATTCCAGCTCAGCACATCTGAACCATTCTGCTCTCCCGGCCCCTTTCCTCCTGTGTTCGTTGGATTTGCACCTTTGGAGCAACCAAAATTTGGATTCCCATCCTGGTGCTGGCCAGGCCAGGCAAGAGCAGGAATTTGCAGTGGTTGGGGAATCAATTCCAGTTTGTTCTTCATCCAGGGGGCTGGGAAATGGGGATGGCAGCAGCTCCTTCAGCAGCTGCCAGGACCTGGGGCAGCTGATTGTCCCCTGTGGCATAATTAATTTAAAATTCTATTTTATGGAGCTCTCCTCATCTCCTGCCTGATTCTGGGGCATCAGGAGCAGGACAGAAACCTTCCCTGCCTTCCCATCTCCTGGGAGTTAAAAAAATAAAATATATGAACCAAGCTTTTCCTCTTTAACATTTCACTTAAAAAACAGAGGAGCTCAAATAAATAAATCCCTCCTCTATCCGCTTTTCCAAAAGCCAGCAGGGAGAAATCTCTTTATCTCCCAGGGCAGAGATAACAATGTAATTAGGAGCTGGGATCAATGGCTCTCATCTCATCAGCCTCCAATAAATGGTTCTGTTCCCACCCCTCCTCTGGGCTGCTGGCCACTGCAGTGCTGAGGGTCTTGCTGCCATCTGGAGAGGCCATGAAGATATTCCTGGGGGGAAAAAAATCTGAATTTTGGGATGTTTATTCCACAGGGGAATGTTGGATCTTGGGTGGGAGAGGCCAGGGGAGACCCCCAGGGGATGGTCAGCTCCTCCCGTGCCAGTGAAATTCAGAGTTGTGTTTGAGTGGTTTGAGAATTTCCTGACTTTTTTGGGAAAGGAGAATCCAGACAGTAAATATCAGATTTTCTTCTTCTTTTTTTTTTTTTTTTAATTTATTTTTTTATTGCAGGCAGCAGAATGGGAATGTAACTTACGGCAGTTGGAGAGAGGAGTGGTGAGCAGCTGCCATAAATCCCAGATTCCAACAGACTCCACACTCCAAGCATGGGAAAATGGGAAGGGAATTGGAAAAGGAAAGGGAATCTGATTAAGCCCAGCTTAAATATTAACTGGGCATGGGTACAACGGTGACTGGTTTGTACTGGGAGAGAGCCCAGGAGATGGAGTCAGAGTGAGGAATGGGATGGGATCTCCAGCACACAGGAACTGTCTCAATGCCACTCTCCCACTTAACTGGGATAATTTGTGCACCTGCCCGTGCTGCCCAACGAGGATAGTGGCATTTCATTAGAAACAAGCACAAAAATCCAACCTTTTCCACCCTGCTCCCGTCATCCCCTGGCTTTGCTTCCATGATTTTGCTGTTTTCCAGCCAACCCCACTCCATCCCAGCCTGGCTGTGGTGCTGAGCTCACCTCAGCTGTTCCTGGGGATGCATTTCAAAGAGCAGGACACAGGGAATGGGTTTAAACTGGGATGTTCAGCTGGGATGTTATTCTCAGCAGAAATGGGAAGGAGATCATTCCCTCTCCCACTCCCTGCTGTGTGCATCCAGCCCTTCCCATCCTGCTGCTGCACCAGGAGCTGGAAAATTTCTTTTTCCTGGAATCCATGTGGGTTATAATCATCTGGGAGTGGAAAATGGGCCTGGCAGGAGCAGGATGGGAGCTGGGGAGCAGCAGGTGCTGCACCCTCAGTGTGGGGACACATCCACAGCTCCTTTGGGGACATTTTGGGAATGCTGGGCAATGAATGCAAGCCCCTTACCAAAGATCAGGATGCCAGGATGCTGGATGGAGCAGCTGGAATGAGGCTGGAAAACTGAATTTTCTGCCTTCAGAGATCTGAGCAGCTCCCTGAATCCATTAGGGCTGCAGAGATAACGGATTTCTCAGGTTTGCTGGGAAAAGAATCCCCACAAACCCCTTTCAAAAGCTGCCTGAACAAAAAAGAGAATAAAAGCTGTGACAGACAAAAAGGAGAAAAAGAAAATTTAATTTAGTTCGGGTCAAAGGGAATTGCCACTGAGAAGCCTTGGGGGTGTTTGCAAACAGGATGGGCCGAATTTGAGAGGGAAGGAGCCTGAGAAATTCACGGGTGTCTCTGTCACTCCTCTTTGTCCCCTGATGGGGGTCAGCATCGTTAATTAGGGGCCAGCTGATCGGTATCACCCTGATAAGAGCCCTGTCATGGAAACCCTGAGTGCCACAGCCAAGATCTCCGGAGCCTCGGCAAATCAGCGCTTTATTCAGCCTCCCACAAAGAGTGTTTTCCTTTCAAAACCCGAGTTATTCAGCTCCGTGTGACTCCTGCTCCCTTGTAAAGGCAGGTGGCACTTCCAGAGGGGGAATTCAGGCCTTGCCTTATCTCCAAAACTCTCCCAAAGGATGAGTTTCCAGGAGCTCTCACCTGGCTGGAGCTCACACCTTTCATCCCCAGCTGCTCCCA